CAGTAAACAGAGAAAGAACGATCTTATTATTCCTGCCTCTCACTCTAATCGTCTTTCTACCCCCACCATTGCTATCAGCGGTCCATTCTAGATGTCGATGGTCCGCACAGAACAAGAATTTATATTGATATTATCGATCGAGCAGAAATGCTGAAGTTTATAGTTTGCCAAACTCTGTCTATTCGCCCAGATGGCGCAGAAATACGTCCTGAATTTTCATAGCGGAGTGTCCATAGTGTCCATACTGTCCATACCCTACTAGATATTGCACAACACTGATCACTGTTCTGCGTTCTGCAATCTGTTGAATATAGCTACTTTCAATAAGCAAAAAAGTTTAATCTGGTTTAATCTAAATTATTGGAACATTAGAATATTACTCCTTAAAAGTAGCAAATATCTATAATAAAGGAAAAAGAAGTATTGGTAATTATTTAGAATACGGTCCTCCCCTCCGATTTTGATAAAATTAGGCTCATTTGATGCGTTTTTACACAAAACGAAAGAATCTGTGAAAAAAAAAACGTTAGAACGGTCCCGCGAACCGAGATATTAAGCGTTAAAGTTGACGACTATGAAGGTTAGAAAATCCGTCATTAACGAGATGCAGCGACATACGAACAAATTCTCTGCTTTACAAACACAAATTGCGTTTGTAAAGCAGAGAATTTATTTTTACAGATTCTTTCGTTTTGTGCAAAAACCCGTTGAATGAGCCTAATTTTATCAAAATCGGAGGGGAGGACCGTATTCTAAATAATTGCCGAAATATTAATTATCATTAATATGTATTTGCTCTCCTGCAGTTTAAATGGTTAATAGGAATATCAAGTATGAGTTATTTTAGTGAGTTGCATCAATTATCGGGTAAGTGATATATTTTTTACTTTTAGAAAGTTGAAGTAGTTGTGATTAAAGAAATTATTGATAAAAGTTCACAATACCCCGGTCACTTTAAATTGATAAAAATAGACTCAATCGATGCGTTTTCGCGTAAAAATAAAAATTCTACAAGAAAAAAGCGTCGCTCTGTCCCACGAACCGAGATATTAAAAAAGTTGACGTCTATCGAGGTTAGGAAATCTGTCAGTCACGAAATACTGCGATGCAAGCATGCGTTGCGGTCTCAAATTTGCTATTTTAAACCAAGTTCTCTGCTCTAAAACACAAATTCACGATTTTGAAACAAAAACATGAAATGCTAACTGCGATTACATTGGTTAGTGTTTTATCGAGATGATGGTGCTTACTTTTTACAGAATTTTCACAGTTATCATATACTTCTTACTACCGTTTACCGTTTTTTACGGTTATCAATTTTCACGGCTATTTATCACATTTTTCACAGTTTTTCTGTTTTTTTTTTCCAGATATTTCTAGTATTTCTACAATTTCCCAATCCAGTGACAGATTAATTAATAGAGTAAATTTATCGCAAAGTTTGTTAGACAATTATTCCAGTGCTATAAGAAGTAACAATAAGTTTGTGATAACCCAGGAAACAACTGCAATCGAAAAAACGATAAAGTTATTAGTATTATGCGAAGAAAGTATAAGTGAACATGTCAAAATTAACATTATCTATCAGTGTATAAAGAAAGCATCTTTGAATCCCAAAGATGTTTTTTCCAAAAGCACAGCTAGCAAATTACAAATGTTGCTTTCAATTCATGAGCTGGATAAGTATATGCATCTTCATTCGACAACAAAATATATGCAAGATAAATTGATACTTTTGGGAATTTGTGATTTACCATCATGTCACTTAAATTCTAATGAAAAATTAGAAGTAAAATATCGCATCGAGACAATGTTACGAGAAACAATACATGATACAATACTGAAGTAAGTGCTTTGTGATTTTTTTATATATAAAAAAATTTAATAAGTATATACTAAATTCTGTAACAATATTAATTTATATGATGATTAATAAAATATCTTGATATCTATGTGTTGTAAGATATGAAGCCTTAGGAGGAAATATTAAGGAAACTTCAAAGAATGACTGTAAGACACATAATCAATTCTTAGAATATTATGATGTGCCAGCAGTACAATGGAAAAATAAAATTGAGGATTTGATTCTGCAATGTGAAAATGACTTGCTGAAATATATATATTTAATAGGCAAGTGGAATAAGCTGAAATATGAAGATATGAACCAAGCATATTTAGAAAAGACAGGCTATTTATTGCTGCAGGCACAAGTTGCAGAGTTGCAAGCAAAGATAACAAAACTTTCTTGCACAATCAGAATGTTCAAAGAAACTTCAACTACTATTGATGCTTTTAAAATGTTACATCAATTAGTTGAAAAGAAATTAAAAATGGTTACAGATGTAATTCGCCAGAAGGAAGATTTAAAGAAGCTGTACGACAATATGAAGGATACAGAATATGATCAAGTGTTATTAATCTACTCACAGCTCTGCAATGCAATAAAGAAGAAAAAACATATCTTGGATATGTTGAAATAGTTTTATAAATAAATGGAAGATTTAATGATCAAAGCAATAAGTATACATATATATATATATCTGGTTCAAAAGTAAATATATTTTGCATTTATATTTTATTATATTGAATAAACTCTTGATAAATATTGTATGGCATAAGTGTTATTAAGTAAGTTATTTTGATTTATTAAACTGTATTAATGAATTATCTTAAACAGAATAACTTTTTATTCGCTCTCTCTATCGGAAACCCTATTTTCATTCTTCAAAACAATAAGAGGTATGCAATTTTTGTCAGCGAGAATCCCATGTTCGATAAGGAATGTTTCCACGTCCGATGAATAAAAATCTACTCCCAGATGATCCGTAACATGAATGAAGTTTCCTATTACTTGTCCATTTTTGTACACCAGCAATGTTGGTACACCAAATTTTTTGAATTGTTTGCTGAGACCTGCAATTGAGCCTAAAAAAAATTACAAAAAATATATGAAAAAAATAATTTGTTACAATCAGGGTTGGGTAGTAACTAGTTAAAACGTTAATAGTTTAAAAAAAAAGTTATAAAGTTAATAACTTTTAACTTAACTTAGTTAATTTTAAATGCATTGATTTTTAACTTAATTTAGTTGCTTTTAAACTTTAATTTATTAACTTTTTTTTAAATTAATTTTTTTATCTCTCTTAATGCTAATATTTTTTTTCTTTTAATATCAAACAGAGAATTAATTTAGAAAAAGTTCAATGATTTTATGAGAGATCTATAATAAGAGCTGCACCATACGGTATTTTATTGACTCGCTGGGTTTTATCAATTCCCGCTTATATTTAAATCACACTAATTTTAGATATCATAAACGTTATATTTCAGCAATATAAATGAAATGAGCCTTGGATGAAGAATTGTATGCACCCATTTTCTAAATTTTTACGTATATTTTTTGTAACAAATATCTAGTCGATGTAGTCGTAAACATGCATGAACAGTCGTTTCAAAAGTTAAAGAAAGTTAGATACAGGTTAAAGAAAGAGAAATAACGCAAACATATACCTTCTCTCTCGCAAGATTTTTTCTAAAATTCCTTATATGGTGTGACTTATTATATATCAGTAACTTACAAGTAAGTTATTTGACTATAAAATTAAATTTACCTAATAATCTATATTTATACGTATTATTTAAAGTAATTTTATTTTAAGAAAAATTAGGAAATTCAGATCTCAAAAATAATTTTTTTCAAAATTATCTTTTTTTAAACTTAAGTTAATTCGATCTAACTTAACTTTTATTAATTTAAGTCTTTATTTCTTCAATTTTTAACTTAATTTTATTAATTTTATAAGTTATTAACTTTAATTTGTAAAATCATGAAATATGTAATACAGGCAATAGGAGTCGACGCTGGTTATCAATTAGCGCAATTTTTTTTAATACCAAAAATGTAAACCTTAACTTTGAACGTTTCTACTCATGGTTTGAGTCTTCATCAGCAATCTTTCACCCTAGCGCAACGATTAAAGTATTGCATGACAAGATGATATCTCCAACGTATTTCTTCTCAAAAATTGAACCGTTTACTGTGGGTTGTGAGGTAAGTCACATACTTACAAAGTTAGAAAGCTGAGAGGCAATGAGAACTCAAGCTAAAATTATATGAAAGATTAAATTATCATATGTATAATTTGAAAATTAATAATTACCTCACCTCACACAGTCGACATTTCTACACTGAACAATGAATCTCTCTTATGTAACATTTTGTAACTCGTTAATACGTATGTTATAAATTATCGTCAAATTTTAAAAAAATAACTACGAGAACAATATGTGTCTTGTCATTTCGACAGTCGATTAAGTAATGATCATTTGCGAATGATCGCAAAAAAATTTGCGAAAATTTTCGGCTTTCCAAGTGAAAGCTTAAAGTTTTCACTACAAAATTATTGTTTTTAAATTTCTAAGATTTTTTGTTATTAAGTTATCGCGAATTAAATAAAAGAAACATTTTGACTTTGATTGCTCATAACTAAAAATCATCGTACCACAAAAAAAATGTTTTTTAAGCTAAAACTTTGCTCTATTAAGTTGTTATTAAGAATAACAACAAATATATTCTATATGTATAACTTTAAACTAAAAAAAGCGGCACGAACCTTCTGATCAATTCAATATTTGAATTATATAAAATTTTTTTCTAAAATTCTGAAAAATATTGATATAAAAAATGTAAACATTTTATGCTAAAATTAGCTCTGTTTAAAGATGAATAAGAATAAAAGATCTTACTGTTTACTTACAAAATGAAACTTAAATTATAATTAAAAATATTTTAGTTTTTATTTATATATACAGGGTGTATCCAAAAGTCTGGATACACCCAAATATCTCATAAACAATGAATTTTAGAGAAAAATATTTCTTACAAAAGTTGTAAAGCTTAAAAAAGCGCATTTAACGATAGTAGTTATTTAACCTAGGATGGCGTTGTCAAGGTCAGATCAAAGTCAACATGAATTTTTTAAATGAAACCCCCCTTTTTTATTACATATTCTTGTAACTTATCTCTTCTACAGCTTTCCAAAACACTATAATTAAGTTCATTTTCATTAAGTACTTTGCGAGTTATAAGGCTTGAAAGTTACAGTAGTCTGCATTAGAATTACCCAAGATGTCCGACCGACGGTTCTTGAATGTTGTTCAGGATCATGTCCTGAATAACATTTGTTAAGATCAAAGTCGTTGGAGATTGTTTCTCTTATTTTCATTTTTACATAAAAATGAATTTTCATCGCAAAAATGAAACCGTCGTCGGTTGGACACCTTGCGTAATGCTAATGTCGGCGGTACTGTAACTTTCAAGTTTTATAACTCACAAAGTACTTAATGACAGTGAACTTTAATTATAGTGTTTTGGAAAGCTCTCGAGATAAGCTACAAAAATATGTAATGAAAAAGGGGGATTCCATTTAAAAAATTCATGTTGACCTTCACCTGACCTTGATAACGCCATCCTAGGTCAAATAACTACAATCGTTGAATGCGTCCTTTTAAGCCTTACAACTTTTGTAAGAAATATTTTTTTCTAAAATGCATCGTTTATGAGATATTTGGGTGTATCCAGACTTTTGGCCCACCCTGTATATATATATATATATGTGAAATGATATATATATGATAATTAATGAAAAATCTTTTGCATAGGGGCAAAATGGACTAAACTGAAAAGAAAAGTCCTTTGCCATTTTACAATTTTCGTAATAGTTAACAAGATATTAATTACTAAAAATTGTCGAAAATTAATCTTCAATAATTTTTTACTCAAATACTACCAGCTTTACAGAAAACCTGCAAGAGACAAAAATTATTTACTATATTCTCATAGAGCTCTAAGAATTTTTTCAGAATTTTTTATCAACTTTTTAGTATTGCACTTTCTTATTTTTACCAACATGAGAAAATACGGTATTAAAAAATTCTAAAAAAATTCTCAAAACTTTATGAGAAAAAAATAAACATTTTTTGTCTCTTACAGTTTTTCTGTAAAGTTGATAGTTTTTGAGTAAAAAATTATTGAAAACCAATTTTCGGCAATTTTTAACAATTAATATCTTGTTAACTATTGCAAAAATTGCAAAATTGTAGAGGACTTTTCTTCTAAGTTTAGTCCCTTTTGCACCTATGCAAAAGATTTTTCATTAATTATCAAACACCCTGTATATATGAACTAAAATATTTGCAATTTTATCCAAAACGAAGCAAAAACGAGCATACCTCAACAGGACTGTTTTTAATTTATCTATCTCCTACACGCTCCCGAAGTGTTGACATTTAAATTCCAAACACCCAGGCTCGTGTTCAGATTCCTACTCGGGTGTTCTCCAGGTGTCATGTCATCCTTGATTAACGTTCGGTAAATAACAAGAATAGAGTGGTACCTGGGTGGCACTCGGGTGGGAATCTGAATATAGAGCCCTGTGTATACGTGCATATGTGCATGCGTACACGGTGGTCCACTTAAATCGACCATCTGAAATATCTCGCTTATTTTTGATGTAAAAAATTTTCAAATGAAAGTGGAACGGTTTCGAGCATGGTGGAAGTATTACATGGTGTGCTCAGTTTAGACAAACCACGCCTACTTTTGCTCCGCGTCGTCTCTCAGTGCGTAGTCTACCAACTGTGAATCGCGAAACATGGAACGATATTCATAGTCCGTTTTTATTTTAAAACCATCTTAAATATAATGTCTTAAGATGTTAATACAGTCCTCGGATTGACTTACGACATCTTAAGATTGACTTAAGACAGTCTTAAATGTAAGAATCGACTATGGCTACGTTCCACTTAACGCTCACAATGCTCGTGGAATCATTTCATCCTTGTCGTTTATCAAATGTTAAGGGGTGATCCCGATTGATCACGGCTCGATTGGACACTACCAATCACAGCGATCGGTGCTTAGGAGCTTTGTAGTCTCAAGCGCTGTGAGTGGCTCGTGTCCAATTGAGCCGTGTCCAACTGGGTGCCACCCAAATGTTAAACAAAGACGAACGATGTTCGCGAGCGTTGCAAACGTTAAGTGAAACGCAGCCTATGAATACCGATCTGTTTCGCGTCACGAAGTTGGTACTGAATCTTTTCTTACACGAGGAAAGATTTAGTACCAACTTCATAACGCGAAACAGGTCGGTATTCATAGTCGATTCTTACATTTAAGACTGTCTTAAGTCAATCTTAAGATGTCGTAAGTCAATCCGAGGACTGTATTAACATCTTAAGACATTATATTTAAGATGGTTTTAAAATAAAAACGGACTACGAATACCGTCCCATGTTTCGCGTTTCACAGTTATAGGTCTCGTGGGACGAAAAGCAGAGAAACGACAGAGAGCGCTAATTTTAGAGAGAGACGCTTGCAATCTGAGCACACCATGTAATCCTTCCACCATGGTTTCGAGGGAGACGTATTTTGGTCATGTTTTTTTTTTCTGGTGGAGGCATCAAAAAGATATGAAGGTCATCTGCATTTTTTTAAATGGAATTGTATATTGATAGCTATCAGCTGTCAAAAGACCATTTAAAAGAAAAATTCCCATTAAAACTAAATTTCAAGACCCTGCACAGTGAGCAGAAAAATTCGACCGACGCTCTAATTTTTAACTAATTTTAATATTTTTTTTAATTTGCTTGAAATTGAATGCGCTATAAGCCTATCAGGAAGAAAGACTAAGGAAACTACTCAGTCTAGCCAGCCTTCAGAACATGGATCGATTTTGCGTTTAGAGTTAAGTTTCGATTCTCGACATACGCGGCGCTTGTGCATTTTGTAGTCCTGCGCATAATGAGTGCGCCGTAAGAAAAAGTGTCACGAACTTAACCCCGTAAAAGCGATTTTGTTTGCGGTTAATCTTCTTTCCTGACGAAGATTAATCGCAGACAAAATCGCCTTTACGGGGTTAAGTTACGTTCGTGACACTTTTTCCTACGGCACACTCATATGCGCAGGACTACAAAGTGCACAAGCGCCGCGAGTGTCGAGAATCGAAACTTAATTCGAAACGCAAAATCGGTCCACTTTTATTTACGTAAAGCCTTGTGTCCACGATGCTAGAAATCGGTCCGAGACCTCGGATGAAGAAAGAATTGATCAATCGCAATGGTCAAATTGTTCAAATGTGATTTGTTAATTTTTTCTGATGCTAGAAATCGGTCCGAGATCTCGTGGAGCCGGCTCCACGTGACGCTCTGACTCAGGGACGTTCCTATACCAGAAATTACTGGGAGCGCACCTTCCATCAAATTATTATTGAAATGTGGTGGGGGTCGCGCGCCGGAATCGGCCTGAAATGTGCAAATCCTTACTGCACTGTATTAGTACTTTACGATTTGCTGCTGCATGAACCGCTCTATGACTTCAGCCTTAGTCTTCCTTCCTAAAGCCTATTCTGCGTAAATTATTATTACGGATAAATTAAAAAAAAAATTACCATTTCAATATTTGTTACCGTGTAATTTAGATTTTTTCTGCTCACTTCATTTGATCGGCAATTTTTACTTTGGACCATAATCAAAATTTACTTTATTTACATAAAGTTCTGAGAATTTTTTTAGAATTTGTTAATACCGTATTTTCTCATGTTGATAAAAATAAGAAAATGCAGTACTAAAAAGTTGATAAAAAATTCTGATTTAGAGTTCTATGAGAAGAAAATTAATGATTTTTATCTCTTACAGTTTTTCTGTAAAGTTAATAGTATTTTTGTAAAAAATTATTCAAGATCAATATTTGGCAATTTTTGGTAATTAATATCTTGTTAACTATTGCAAAAATTGCAAAATGGTAGAGGACTTTTCGACTCAGTTTACCGCTCTATTTACATAAAAGCGATTGGCTAAAACTTACAGAACACCCCGTATATGTACACACTATATCGACGCCTGAGCCATAGAAGGTTCTATATTGAGAAAAATATGAAAGAAGGGTCTATGTCAAAAAAGTAAATGAAAAGCAGTCTATTTCGCGCGAGGCGTGAAGACCGGTTTATGTCGGAACATATGCGAAGTACGGTTTATATCGAGAAAAACAAGAAGAACGGTTTAGTTACCTGTCCTCAGTCATATCACTACAAAATTTATGAGAAGTTAACATAGCGCCATATAAACCCTGATAAACCCTTCTTCAAAGTCATGCGACATAAACCGGTCTTCATGCCTCGCGCGAGATAGACCGTTTTTCGTTACTTTTTTGACACAGACCCTTCTTCATGGTTTTCTCGATATAGCACCTTCTACGGCTCAGGCGTCGATATATACATACATGTACATAGTTTTTAGCGTAACGGTCAGCACGATTTTTCAGATACTTCCGATAGTTAAAAAAAAGGTTAAAAGGTGAATATTCATCCGTTTTGTATAGGCTGCAACATACGATAAGAGAATTTAAAAAATACAAAATTTTAATGTTAATTGGGTTCTTGAAACTAAAAAATGTAATAAAATATATGGACAATAAGAGCATTAACATAGCGCGGAAAATTCAATATAATTAACCAATGATGTCTACATAAAATATAAATGTACAATAATTGTCTGTACCATCTTATTTGAACGGTTCGATTTTCTTCAAACCATCATCAGCAGAATAGTGTTTTGACGGTCATTGTTTGTCTGACTCCCGTTGGGATAACATATGTTATAATTTTATATCGTATAATGTAAAACTAAGTCTTATATTTCTTATCGTTCCTTCATATAACTTGACTTCCTACATTTGGAATAACGAATTGTGATCTGTGGAGAATGAGGTTGAGTAGTACAATATATTGAAAACACAACAATGTAATTAATTTCTTTGCATAATTTGTTCTTTAGTCAGTCACTTGGCTTTTTAATGAAGAGACAAATTACAACTATTACCAACCAGAAAGTAGGGAGATGTTCATCCTCAGTCTTATATAGATTTTGAATTTCAACATTGTCACAAGAATTTTGTCAAGCATCTATGATAAGTATTTATGGATGTGCTGATGATAGTCTGAAGAAAACCGAAACGTTTAAATAAGATGGTACAGACAATTATTATACATTTATATTCTATGTAGACATTATTGGTTAATTATATTGAAATTTGTGCACTAATTTCCATGCTGTGTTAATGCTCTTATTGCCCATAAATTGAACTAAAAAAAATTTTGTTCACAAAATCAAAGTCATCTTAATTTTTTTAAATAGCACCATACAATTTTTCCATAATATTGTAAAAATCTTCAAAACAAATTCAAATAACTATCAAAATGTCACTTTTATTGATGTTTTACTGATTTCATTGATACTTGATATCGAATTTGTAACAGTATTTGTAACAGCAGTATTTACAACTTCTGATCAGAACACATCATACATACATATATGTATACATACATGTATTTATTTAATAAAATATGCAATAAAATCAATAAGACATAAAAACAAGTGATATTTTGACTGTGATTTGAATTCGTCTTGAAAACTCCTACAATATTATGGAAAAAAATTGATGATGCTATTTAAAAAATTTAAGATAACTTTGATTTCCTTATAAAAAAAATTTTTATAAATTGTAGCTACATAAAACAGATGAATACTCACCCTTCAATCTTTTTTTTAACTGTCGGAAGTGACTAAAAAATCGTGTGGACCGTTACACTAAACACTAAACACCCTCTCCCTCCCCCCCTCTCTCTCCCTCCCCCCCCTCTCTCTCTCTGTCTGTGTGTGTGTGTGTGTGTGTGTGTGTGCGCGCGCGCGCGCGTGTGTATGTATATATAATTAATGACGTTGACAGTAGAAATCACATTTCTTTACTTTTATATAATCTCAAAATTAACTAACCTAAAATTTTACAAAATTTGATGTAAGGGTATTCTTCTGCAAGAGATATTAAACACCCATTCATGGCTTCGCAGCCAGATACATTATCCTCGTAAATGTGAACGATAACAATTATTGACTTGTCTTCTTCATCAATGGCTTGTAGAAACTGATCTGTGTTCTCCAAATCGATAACTCTTCCAAAACAATGTTTTTCTGTTTTTGCAAGCATTTCTTTCATTCTTTGTTTCTGATATTCTAGAAGAAATTCATCAGTTAATAAATTTGCCAACTCTGGATCTGTCTCATTCAGTTTTTCCTTTTCTTCATCTAAAGCACTGCGGCACGTTAAACTCAGTTTGTTAATCAACTGTAATCTTTCTTTCTCTTGTGATTCTCGTTTTTCTGTTTCTAACTGTTTATATCGCTGCCAATCCTTCCAAGAACATATTTTGTATTAACATCAAATATTATCTGTTTAATATTTAATTGACAATAAAACTTAAATATATATGTATGTATATGTGTACGTGTGTTCAATTTGGTGTTTCTAGATTTTTATATTTTTCTATAATTAAAATTTAATTATAATAAACACTACATATATAAAATAATATGGCTCAAGTAATAAAAATTTAAAAAAATAATGTTGAAAGGGGCTATGAACAAAGTACAATAAATTCGGTATTAATGATATATATTGACATAAAAGTTACAAGTAAAAAGTTCTACAAGAACATTTTTTTATTACATCAAATATAAGTTTGTATTTTATTCCGTTTATTGTTTTTCAATGTGTGTATCAATGCCAATCGAGTCTAAACACTAGGTGTAGTTGTGTGTTAAATTCTTTATTGTATTAGAATATATACGTTTCGATCCTTGTATCGGATCCTTATCAATATTT